GCCCGCTAGGGGACGCAAACCGCAGATGCTGCAGTGCTGTCCGTCCGTTTTTTTACTACGGGCGGACGGCAAGAGGTTAAAATGAGGATGGAATAACATTAGCCTGTTTATTGCTAGTTACTGTTTGCTAGGTACAATATATGTATACATGATTTTAATCTCCTCTTGGAAAAAAAAAAGACAGTCAGTGTCCTAAACTTTCCCAAGATTAGTTTCTGTTGCTTTATGGCATCACATTTGAATAAGTTGCTAACTTTCCAGACTGTGAAGGTTTACAAAGCCAGAAGATGGTTTGTAGGGTTCCTATATAGGAAGAAATTAAACTTAATGAGAACTATGCGGTTAGTGTTTTACCCCATAGTTCTCTTTAGGGTCACGGGAGGACATATACTAACCTCCTCCCTTGACCCAAAGCTCAGTATATAGAGGGCTATTGTCCGCAATATACTGTGTGCCGCAGCTGAGACAGATCCCGACAATACTGATCCACCCAGCTGTGTGAGTGACAGCTGGCTCTCCCTATCTAGAAGCAGTGCCAGCTGTACCCGCCCCCTCCCCTGTCCGTTCCTCCACTCAGCGCTGGAAGATTGCAGAGGAGAGATGGGGTCCCTGCGGGTAGCGGTGACTGACAGTCACCGCTCACTACAGGGAGACGATTGGGAAGTGAGCGGATTGGCGGCATGTTCCTGCTTGCTTCCCGATCAATAGAGCCGACCTCTGACAGCTTTTTTGTTACAGGTCAGCTCTAACTATGAGGATGAGTGGAAATCACTTGCCTCCATAGTTCTTCTTTTAAGTCTTGTCTGGGCAAGCCTTTTCTACCCCGTGTAGTTTTCAAGCTTCAGAAGCCTTCAGTAAGGACCTAAATATTTTACTGTGCTGCCTGTTATTTTAATGAATATTTGTTTTACTTGCACGTTATTAAAAGGAGAGTACATTGTCTCAGAATGTATTACTTTGTTTATTGAATAATTGTTTAGCTGTCCCTTCGTCACATTGCCACTAGGACTGCCAAGTTCTGTGGTAAATGTATCTTTATATAACTTCCTGTAAAATGTTGTAAACATTTCAACCATTTGTGCTTTGCTGGCATTGGTGTCTGTAAAACATCGGATACACACATGCATTTTGTATTGCATACAAACCTAATCAGTATTAATCGCAATGTGATAAGAACTAGGGATGCACAGATCCCATTTTTTTTCAAGACCAAGTGCCGATTCTTTTCCTCAAGTACTTGCCAATACCAATTACTGATACCTTTTTATTTAGTGTCATGTGACAGTTTTTCTGTGCCGGGTATCACCATTGCTGTGCGGGCAGTGGGAAGAACAAGGAGGTTTGCAGCTGTTTCCCGACAGCCAGGAGCAGGATCAATGGATATATAGTGTATTCCTGCGAAGGCTCCCACAAGGCTGCAGCAAGCATGGAACCTTACTGCAGCCAAATCTATTAAAAAATGTGAAGCCCACTATTAGCACCGATACTGGTATCCATGCATCCCTAAAGAAAACCAATAAGATTTTACTAATTTCCTTGTATTTGCATTGCATGTATCATTTATTTCAGAACGTCCTAAAAGCAAAGAACATGTTATCAGTTGCTTTTTTTTTTTTGCCTGTGTTTAGGAAAGTGACTTTCTCCTGTTCTGGGAACATATGTTTTTCATTAGATTTTCTGATAGAAAAAAAGATTAAAGTGGCAGGGGTTTGGGAGCCTATACTATATTAGATATTTAAATCTCTAGAGCCGTCTCCTTTCTGCAAACTCACTGGTGAAGGAACAACTTGAACCCACTTAACTTATTGCTGTAATCAATATGCCTATTTATGCTTTTATTTTTTTAATCTTAAGTTTTGCAGTTGGGGTTAAAAAGTCCTGTGCTGGCAAAACTATGGGAGTCAGACTGCTGCTCTCACACACAAGCATCAGTGCGATTTCTGCTATGTCCTGACAGCACTGGATTTTTAACCCTTGCTGCAGCACTTAGCTGATTATAAAACAAAAGGAAAAAGAGGTACATTTATTACTGTATACCCTGCCTGACTGCTACAGTACAGTAATACGTTCAGAGGGTTCACTTTTGCTTCAGTGTGTAGTATTGCCTGAAACCATGTTCAACCTCTTAGATTTTTAGGGGTATCACTTGTCTGCTGGACTTCTCCAAAGTTCTAAACATTAACAATGCTATTTTGCCTAGACAAAAATATAACCAATACATCTGTATTTTGTCCATTGTCATCCTCCCTTTTTCAGAGTGTTCAAAATTAGGTGACACATTGCACCGGAGTGCTGAATATGACTTTACTGGTAGTATAGCGATAGGAGTTGTGGTAAATAGCACTGATAACATGATAGAAACAGTCATACTCAGCATTAGACTATGTTAACTGATTTTTCACTGCATACTTGCAAATTTTTGAGTAAAGATCATAAAGCGAGTATAGTACATAAAAAGGTCAGAGGGCTACAAGATCAGGAGAACAGATAAGTGTGATCCTACAGAACAAGACTTCACTCCTTTGGTAGAACAATGTTAGTTATTCTACCCCTGTATCTGGAGTAATGCTGATTGCTAGTGTCTGGGTTGCCAGTAGTCTAGCCCAATTCTGTGTGTATTTGGAACTGACGTCCTCCTTTTTGACGTGTGTGTGTGTGTGAGAGCTGCATAGGAGAAAAACTTATTTTCCAAGCTAAGTCTTCTAAAGACTTGCACTGCATTGTGGGTGGTATGGAGAAAAATTGACTTTTGCGTTCCTGGATGAATTATGTAAAATCATCCATTGAGTTAGTGCTAATAGTAAACGATACTGTGCAACTAACTTGTAGAAGTACCTCACATGCCTTTTGATTCTGCATCCACCATTGTATATGCTTCCAGAACTACTTGATATCCTTGAGAAAAGTAATTGGTATCCACCATAAAACCAGTGTCTTACCTGTGTATGCTTTTATGAACCATGTCCAGAAGTGTTCACAAAGCACTGGACGTGGTATTACAGTGTCTGGATTAACAGGCTTAAAGGAGAACTACAAAGTGAGTGAAAATCACTCATCCTCATAGTTAAAGACGACTCACTTCTCCATCTCCCTGCAGTGAGCAGTGTCTGTCCATCATGGCTCCCCGCAGAGATTCTCCAAGCCCCCTCCTCCGATCCTCCAGTGCTAAGTGGAGGTACGGAGGGGGCGGGTACAGCTGGCTCTGCCTCTAGATAGGCAGAGCCAGCTGTCAATCATGCAGCTGGGTGGATCTCAAAAGTAATGTCGGGATCCGTCCCAGCTGCGGCGGTCTCAGTATACCTTGAGCTGTAGCTCGCGATATACTGAGCTTTGGGTCACGGGAGGTCTCTAGTATATGTCCTCCTGTGACCCTTAAGAGAACTATGGGGAAAAACACTCTTTTAATTGAGTTAGTCCATTACACTACTTTATAGCTTTCTGCATATTTCCATAGACGCTGCAATGCAGAGACAAATGGATGTAATGTATATGTCCTTTGCAGCAAATCACCAGGAACAGGATTGCCAAGGTGGCCACTTCTGTTCCCTCTCTGGCCAAAACACTGCCAAATCACACTTTGCAGTTTAATTGTACATTTGAGGCCAGGTTTACACCTAGGAGATGGAGCTGTTTTCACCCTGGTTTTTATGTTTATTTGTTTTTGCGCGATTTTTGTTTTGAAAACCGTGCGATTTTCAATGCATAGAGGTGTCTATGGGACCAAAATAAATCACCTATGTGTTTATCAGCCTTTATGGTGATCATGCCAAAACCACAAAAGTTTATTCACGATCATCACTGGTAAACGGTTTGTAGCAGGTGGTGCCTGTACATACCAGCACTGGTCCTAAAGGTTTTCGTTTATGACGGGGATGTCCCTGTATCCTAGGCCCAGGCAACAAACAGACCCCAGGAATGCTGATATGTACCTGCACTTTATACCTTCAGCAATTTTGGCTGTGTGAGAGACAGTCTCTTTAAACAATTGCCAAGCACCCTATACATACAAACTTGTAGATCTTTTTAGTTAAGCATACTTTATATTTTCCAGACTTGGAGATTTAGAAATACATTCACTGTCATTTACTTAGGGAAGGGTATATTTTCACCTTAAATGTAAGGCTTGCTTGGGGGAAGTTATTTTCTCACCAATACTAGCAAAGAGCCATGAGCACAAAGCTTTCAAAAGCAGAAGATTTTTCTTTCTCTAATTAGAAAAGTTTCCATTTATTTCTGACACTTTGCAACTTGTAAAGTGAAGTCCATCTTCCTTCTGCACTTTTAGATACAGTACATACCAAAACTAAAGAAAACCTCATGTTTGATAAGTTTGGCCTGTGGATCTTTTTAGTGAGTAACATTTCTTGCCTTAAAGGAGAACTATGAGTTGAGTGATTTTTCACTCCACCTCATAGTTTGAGCCGACCTGTGACAATGAAACTGTCACACGTCAGCTCAATAGATCGGGATGTGAGCGAACACATACCGTCGCTCGCTCACTTCTCGTTCATGTCCCTGCAGAGAGCCATGACTGACAGTCACCGTTCGCTGCAGGTATCCCCCCCCCCCTTCCCAGCTCCGATCCTCCAGCACTGACTGGGGGAACGGACGGGGAGGGGGCGGGTAGAGCTGGCTCTGCCTCTAGATAGGCAGAGCCAGCTGTCACTCGCGTAGCTGGGTGGATCTCGACAGTAATGTCGTGATCCGTCCCGGCTGCGGCGGTCTCAGTATACCGCGAGCCGTAGCTCACGATATACTGAGCTTTGGGTGACGGGAGGACGCTAGTATATGTCCACCCGTGAACTATGGGGAAAAACACTTACCCCATAGTTCTGTTTTAAGCACAATACCTGATCATATTGGGTAGATCCATGTTTTGGAGAATATTCTTCACTATAACTAACACAGGTTATATAACTGTAATATGTCATTTTATTATGCAGTGCAGCTATTTGATTGTTACAAATTTGACCATTTGTTTTTTGTTTTTTTTTTTCTAGTATGGCAAGGCCTAGTGGGAGGGCCTTACACCTACAGCCTTCTGTATTAGATTTTGGAACCCAGTAAGTATTTGTTTAGGACAAAATGTTATTTATTTGTAATTTTATTTTGAGGCTATTATGTTTTGTTTGAATAAAAGCATTTTTTTTTGCTCTGTGTGTCCCCACTGGGGAGAGATCGCCTCCTGGTGACAGCTTTTTAATGGATACAGGAAAAGAAGGGAGATCTTCAGTGGACAGACAACAATAAAAAAATTAGTTTGTGTCTTACTCTGTCCCAGTGGCAACGTTGTCACTGAAACAGGAAGTTAGGAGAAAGATGCTACAGAAATCAATGAAACCTGTTCAAGGCTTCAGTGTAAGCTACGGTAAATTGTATAGTAATACATTGCATCTGTGGCCCACATTTTTTTTTCGAACCTTAGTTTTTTTTCATTTTATTGTTGTCTGCATCCCTGCTGGTGAGGGTAACCCTCTCTTGTTTGTCCTGGTGAACATTTCAGTGGGACAGTAGTCGAAGGGAAATCCAAAACTGGACATTTTTCATTGGTACAGGAGTTGTGGAAAATTCTTCCAAAGTGTATGCCTGCTCCAGTGACAGCTGACTTCAAGGAGATTTCCCCTCACTTTGGAGAGATCTTCTCTCCCCATTTCTGTTGTGTCTCTAGGACAGCGTGGGAAAGGTATATGTCCTCAGAGGGACACTGCAAAAAGAAAGAGCCCGGTCTTCTAACCATTCCATTCTATAGTCTGCCATCACTGTATTTGCTTACAGGACCTTTTCTTTGTGTTTTAATATGAAGCTTTTTTTATTGCAATGCAACTAATGTGTATATTTCTTTATTTTCAGGTCAGTGGGTCTCCCTAAAGCTCAGTCGTTCTGTGCTTTCAACCCTAGTAGGGACACTGATATTGAAGTGGATTCAGTGTTTACAAGTGGTAGAAATTTCCATGCGTCTCCCATACATAGCATGGTGAGTGTTGATGTGCTCTTGGAAACTATGTCCTGGATAAAGGCCAAAACATCTAGCTTTTCTTGGCACAATTATTCTACATTGCAGCCTCTAGCAAGACTCTTTTCCCAACATGCTCTTCTCCTGCATTTCACTTATAAATAATGAGTTTTCATTTTCCAGTTTTGCAGCCCAAGTAGGTCAGACATTTTGGACAGCAGGAAAACAAACAGATTTTGGTTATTTTTATAATTTTTTTAAAATGTCCACATCCATTTTACCACACGTTTACAGCAATGTATGTTTGAAAAGCATTTTACCACATGAATACTTATTGGTTAAGTGGCATCAGTAATAAAAAATAAATACGATTAATACCTGGAGGAGTTTAATGCATGCTCTGGCTCAACTACTTTCACATTACCTTTTATTATGGGTAGCTTGTATTATATAAACTTATTAGGATTCTGTTTAGCTCATCGGAATCGTCTAAATTGTACTAAATCATATCATTTATCTTCAACTGATCCAAAGGATTCAATAGGTACTCAGTCACTGTAGTGCCAATACTGCCACTTGAACTGTTGCTTTGCTGTAATGAGAGGCTGTATGTGCAGTAAAAGGAGTGTGGCCTTTTTTCTGCTGCTTAAAATTTGAACTTCAGGTAGATAAACAAAATACCAAAGTTACGGAGTATTTCAAACACCAATATTACATTTATTTGTAAATAGAAAAAATGAACTGATAATCAGCCTGTTGGGATCTTGTGTACAGCTGTCCATTGACTGGTAGTCAAGGGTAGCACTAGCGGCCAGTCAGGTGCCCTTCATGCACATGGTTAGGTATGATGTAGTAGAAAAAAGTCAGGTCAACCACCTGATTGTGCTGTCTGGCAGAACTGTGTAAATCTCAGGACTACATGGACATAACTGTGAATATTGTGACAGGTGAACCAGCTACCATATGAGCATTTCTTCTTTTTGGTTTGCCTGCACTTTATGCTTTATGCAATATGATAGAAACTCCCAACCAAAAGTAGAAATTGCCCAAAAGAATGGAATTGTTAGCTTCGGTGTACTTTATTTAAAGGCCAATTCACATAAATCTATTAATACGGTTTCACGTTGATTTTGACAGTGGCCAACTGGTTTCTGGAGACTTCAGCTGTAAGGGTTCCCAACCATGTTCCCAACTGTACTACAACCGCCCCCCCCTATGCAAACTTCAGCCCTTCAGCTGTGGTATAAGTACAAATCCCATAAGGCATTGCTAGACTCTGACAGCCAACAGGCATGACTGCCAGGGGCAGGTGCATTATGAGATTTGTAGTTTTACCACAGCTGCGTGGCCGGAGTTTTCTTTTCCCGGAAATACAAGCTCATGAGTGCTTTGCCTACTAGCATCCACTGGTTAGCTTTTTAATACATAGAAATTGAGTTTTCCAAATCTGTAGCCTGCTGTATCACATATATGCTTCTGAACAAGCTTCATATGCAGCCACTGATGGTCATACCCACCTGCTTACTATATTAAGCAACAGCTCTAGTCTGTTAATCGTGACATATCAGACATGAATAAGATTTGTGCGATGCTATCATGGTGACAGTCCTGGATTTCTTTGTTCCTTTTTATGTACTGTAGTATGGGTGTGTGTATACTAGCGGACCATGTGAGGTCAGTTTTCAAGATAGTTATTCCGCGTGCTTCAAATCCACAGCGAGCACATTGCTCCAATTGTATTGTAACCTTTTAATGCAATGCAGATGTGCTTCTAGGGATCCAGTGATTGAGGCTGGAAGTGAAAAACAAGACATATGCATTCTTCTAACCTAAGTCACCACATAGCTTTCAGAAAATATAGCCTAGTGCCTGCATGAGCTGGATTCTTTTTTACCTATTGCAAAACAAGGTGGAATTTCTAAATAGTTTTAAAATAGCAAACAGTACTATGACTTTAAGTAGTAAAACAGATGTCCATGTATAAGAAAGTGCTGAGGATGGAAATATTCCTTGCCAGGCTGACCAGCCTTCCATCAATGCCATAGAACTAGTCAGCATCATTTACTGAGGCTTTATTTTTGTCTGCACTCTTTTCCCCTGCATTCTTATCCTAGCAAATATATGACAAAATAAAGATGTTTTTCTTTTTATTATAAACTCTTTTCTGCACGGCCTGGTACAGTTGCTTTGCTTCTATTTTAATTTTTTCTATTCTGTGGTGGATAGAGCTGTAACTTGGAAATTTCAGGAGGTTCTGGAACACTGAGTACAGGAATTTTCAAGTTAATAGCCAGGCCCGTGTTACATAACACAGACCTCAGACTCGAGCGGTCTTTCTTTATTTCCCAGCAAACTCTGCTAACAATATATTAACCCCTTCATGACTGAACTAGTTTTAAGTTTCTGTTCCTAAATGACTGACACACTTTTTACATTTTTGCTGTGATTCTTCCACAGCAGCAAGTTTTGATTATTATTATTATTTTTAGAATTTTTTTATAATACTTAATAAATTAACTTTTTAAAATTTGTAGTTATCAGGCTGCTCCAAGCTTAGGAACAGCTAATAATAACTTTAGAGGCTGATCTAGCTATTTAGCGAACCCGTATCTGAATGTTAAGGCTTCATTCTTTCATTAATGAAAGAAAGAAGCTTTTAGAAAAGCTTAACTATTTCATTAATGAATGTCTCAATAGTGAGGCATTAATTAATGACTGGAACTGCTGAGAATCAGCAGTTACCAGCATTACAGAGGCTAATATAACTCGGCACGTACAGTGTACGTGGCCAGTCATATAGCCACTTTGTGACGGGACGTACACTGTACGTCTTCCGTCACGAAGGGGTTAATTTATGCTGGATCCTCCCAAGCTGGCAACTTGGTTATGATTGTGTTTAAAACGTCTTTGAAATGGTCTCTATTGGATCCACCCCAGATTTCTGTGTAATGTTTGTAGAAATTTTAGGCAATAGTTATTATTATTATGCAGGATTTGTATAGCACCAACAGTTTGGGCAGCGCTTTACAATATAGGGAAAACATTACAATACATTTCAAGACTGGATGGTAAGGCGGGCCCTGCCCGTGGGAGCATACAATCTAAGATGTACTGAGGGGCATTTATTAAAATATGAGCAGACAAAATGTGGAGCAGCTGTGCATGGCAACCAATCATCTTCTCTCTTTTCATTTTAAAATCTTACCTAAACAAACTGAAGAGAGATGCTGATTGGTTGTCATGCACAGCTGCTCCCGATTTTGCCTTCTAAAGTTTTATAAATTCCCCTCACTGTATATTGGTTAATGTTTACATAGTCTCTGAATTAGAAGCCGTGTCCTTGTCAGATTAAAATGGTTGTATAATAGCAGAAGCAAAGAAAATCAGAGCAGTCCCTCATGGCAGCAGGTCCGTTTTATCCTTTTGGTGACTTGACTGCAGGTTAGATAATAGAGGTTGAACTCTGATTCAATGCCAAGGGCAACTTTCCTATTGTTCTCTGAGGGACTCGCAATCCTTTTTTTTTTTTTTTTTTTTTAGGTTTTGGACCA